AAATGGCATGCCATGGCATCTTGATTGATTGTAAGATAAACTATTCGTCCTTAAATCGTCTTTACCACCTAGGTTGATTAAGTTCTTATTCACGAATTACCGATTGTCTTCAGACTTACATATATAAAAAATAAGATCATTTAAGAGCTGATAGTTGAGTTTTGTGTGCTTGAATCGTCGATAATTCCACTACTAATGTGATTTTGGAGGAGAATTTCAAAATGTCACCCCAGCAGCCAACAGTAATTATGCGATATTTGAACAACTACTTCGCTATTTGGTCGCATGAAGGAGAAAAATTAAACGATTTCCTGATCTTCATAAAGGAAATAGATGAAAAAGTCAAATCCACCATGAATGTGGAAGAGAACGGACACTTGCCGTTCTTGGATGTAAAGGTCATTCTCTCCGAGGAAACTCTCAAGAAAAAACTTTTCCGTAAGAAATCGCATGCTGGAATAACTCTTAACTTCCATTCGAACCATACTTATGGGATGATGATTGAAATACTCCAGAGTATGAGCATAAGATGCTTACGACTGACTGATTCTGAGCTCTGTGAAGAGGAAATCGGAAAAATAACTCAGATGTTTCTTGGAAACGGATATCCAGAAGAAACAATACAACGCAACATCTGGATGGTGGTGAACAGATGGAACGACGAAGACTACAAAAGGAAAGCAAGAGAAGCAGAAGAATAATTATGAATATGTCTATCCTCCTGCGAGCTGACTCGGAAGTTACGGTCAATACTAGGGGAATAGGACATTCGTACAATCCCGAAGAAAAGGGCAAACCTGTTTACAAGCTTACCCATACAGCATGAAGAAGTCACTAAAATGGAATGCTCCGGAGTTTGCAGCATAAACTGTGAACAAAAATAAATAGTAGAGACGAGAAGGACAATCAACATAAGGATCAAAGAACACCAGCGAATATGCAGAAAATTGATACAGAAAGATCAGAGATAGCTGAACACTTCGACCTTACCGGTCACACAATTGACTGGAATGAAACGGAAAGACTGACCTCATATGGGGAAAACACCAGGAAAAAGAAGATCAGTGAGGCTGTGGACATCTTTTTTGAAAGAAACCCGATGAACAGAAGATTGGAAGATAGTCTGTTTGAGAATGTATTGGAGATTCAACGAATACATCAAAAAGACGCTTGGACCCAGAACAACTGTTCAACAACAGAACGATACTTCATCAAGGAGCGGCTTATGCGGAATAAAGGGAAGTCAAGAAAAGGCGACTGCAATGAGAAGAGTCGGAAACGGAATTATCCAAAAAAATTTACCCAGGAGTCCATCTGCGAGATGTAGGATATGAAATCGAAGGCTAAAGATATAGATTGGCTAGATATAGGTCATCAGTGTTTGTGCGTGAGTCTTATGTGTATTTTTCATATCAGTGTTTGAAGGGGTTGACTGGTGGCGCGCTTGGACACGGGGCATATCATCCAACAAAAAACACACACAGGATCATCATCCTGGTACCCTATGATTAGATAAAAATATCAACTCGAGAAAAGAGAGGAGTGTGTTTTTTTGCGATTCAAAGGGAAGCGGTACATTCTCACACCAGCGGTTATGACTTAAACATGGCACAGGGCCCCAAAGAATGAGGCACAATGTGGGTGGGAATGGGAGAGAGGATAACTGAATCATGGGTTTGAAGCCTAGGGAGAGGTAGCTTCTCAGGCAATGGCATGTGCATGGACATGGGTATCATCTGCTCAAAATCCTCAAATATGGCGTCATTAAGGACGGAAATTAAAGGCTCTTAGGGAGCAAAATTTGAGACAGCCAAACAGTGATTTTGATTGATAGAAGTGGGTTGACCTCGTTGTGGCAACTTGGTCTTGATGTCAGGGGGACCTAGTAGAACACACCTAGTCCTAAGTCGTCTGCCATAGTAGTTGTCATGATTCCCAGCATCAGATAGTGGACGAAACGTTTGAGAATGTGCCAAGTCAACTGTCTGATACTGGGAATCATGACAACTACAAAGGCAGACGACTTCGGACTAGGTGCGTTCTACTAAGTCGCCCTGACAACAAGACTAAGTTGCCACAACGAAGTCAACCCACTTCTATACAGC